GGAGGGGGAGGGGGAAAGAGTCCGAGGGAACATCCTTTGTACTATCCCGCTCCGATAGGAAAAGTGGAGCAGTGACAGATATCATTTCTCTCTCTAAGAGCGCATTCTAATTTATATGTTTCGTGTACAGTTCATGTACTTACGACGTAATATGTATATATGTACGTGACCCATAACACGCGACCTTAATATTAATGACAGATTCTCTGACGAATTTAGAATAGATTTTATCTTATCGGAAATGTGTCAAGGCACTAATAGTTCTCAAGTTATTCGGAAGCTAGTAAAAAAGGCTTTCTCGCTATCTATGTTTACGGTATTGAATAAATTAGAGCATCATATCTTTTAGTTAATTTTAGGCGAATTTTGATATCTGAATTTTAATTTGATATATATATTTATATATTTTAATTTGATAATTATATATGTATATAATATTGATATGTATATATTTATATATTTATATATAAAAAACATATATTGTATATGTTTTGGCAAATTGTGATAAATGTAATTCAACATTTTTACTAAAAAAAATCACTAATAAAATTGATATGTATATTATACATTATTTATATATAAAAAACATATATTGTATATGTTTTGGCAAATTGTGATAAATGTAATTCAACATTTTTACTAAAAAAAATCGAGCTTAAACTAATAAAAGAACCCATTATTAAAATTAAGAAAAGACAAATAGAACGTTGTAGTAAATTAATTTATCACAGTCGATTTTTTAATTTTCTCATAATTTAGATTTATAATATTATGATCTAAATTATAAAAAAATTGGAACAATTGATGGGCAATCAAACAGAGATAATTAAAACCAGAAGATAGAAACTTTTGGCGATAGCCGTTATCGCTTGATAATTTTGCTTAGATTTATGCGATTATTCATCATTGTTTTGCACGCATTATCGTTTTAAATCTAATTGATTAATAAAGTTCCACAGAATACTGATATACGATCGGATTTTATTACGCGACTCGATAAGACAACGCGATTATGTAGTTCGATTATTTTAATCGCGAAAGGAAATTGCAAGAGATAAAAAACGATTTGAATTAACGATCTGCTTCTTGTTGGATGGACGAGCAAGTTGTGCGTCATAACGCGAATAATGAAAAGTTTGTATGGGGGTCGCAAAAGTTAAACGCGATCCCCATCGAGACTCGATGGGGCGCCCTCAGGAAATCTAAACCGGTAACAAGATGGCTGCTCGGAAACGGAAACCGGAAGCTTGTCACTCAAGCTACGCTGGTTTCCGGCGTGTCCCGAAAAAAGGGAAACGGTTCTGAAACGATCCAGAAGAGAGAAAAAGAAAGAGAAAGGGAGCAGATTGTTTTGAGTGTATTGTTTCGTTATATTCCCTATTGTAGATATAAAGGAAGAATGCTACGATATTACTGAAATATTTAAATCTTCTGTTACATCATTTTCATATTCCCAATTGATAATATATACAAAATAGTACAACGAAAGAATGCACAATGAAAGATGTATATATTATTTTAAATTTTGCAACAGGGAATTTTTATAAGATGTTATTAATTTTAAAACAAGAACTGAATATATATTTGGAACATTTTGCTTTTGTTTAGATTCCATTTATTGGAATAATTTATACGTAATATAGTAAAATATTAAACTTTTCCGATGTTTTTTAATTTTAATTAAAAATGAGAAAGAAAGAGAACGAATTTAGAATAGATTTTATCTTATCGGAAATGTGTCAAGGCACTAATAGTTCTCAAGTTATTCGGAAGCTAGTAAAAAAGGCTTTCTCGCTATCTATGTTTACGGTATTGAATAAATTAGAGCATCATATCTTTTAGTTAATTTTAGGCGAATTTTGATATCTGAATTTTAATTTGATATATATATTTATATATTTTAATTTGATAATTATATATGTATATAATATTGATATGTATATTATACATTATTTATATATAAAAAACATATATTGTATATGTTTTGGCAAATTGTGATAAATGTAATTCAACATTTTTACTAAAAAAAATCGAGCTTAAACTAATAAAAGAACCCATTATTAAAATTAAGAAAAGACAAATAGAACGTTGTAGTAAATTAATTTATCACAGTCGATTTTTTAATTTTCTCATAATTTAGATTTATAATATTATGATCTAAATTATAAAAAAATTGGAACAATTGATGGGCAATCAAACAGAGATAATTAAAACCAGAAGATAGAAACTTTTGGCGATAGCCGTTATCGCTTGATAATTTTGCTTAGATTTATGCGATTATTCATCATTGTTTTGCACGCATTATCGTTTTAAATCTAATTGATTAATAAAGTTCCACAGAATACTGATATACGATCGGATTTTATTACGCGACTCGATAAGACAACGCGATTATGTAGTTCGATTATTTTAATCGCGAAAGGAAATTGCAAGAGATAAAAAACGATTTGAATTAACGATCTGCTTCTTGTTGGATGGACGAGCAAGTTGTGCGTCATAACGCGAATAATGAAAAGTTTGTATGGGGGTCGCAAAAGTTAAACGCGATCCCCATCGAGACTCGATGGGGCGCCCTCAGGAAATCTAAACCGGTAACAAGATGGCTGCTCGTTGAGATTTTTTATTTTTTAATAAAAAAAAGAGAGAAAGAGAGAGAGAGAGAGAGAGAGAGAGAGAGAGAGAGAGAGAGAGAGAGATTGAAATAATGGGTTAAAATTAATAAGAAAAATTTGCTTTTTTTAGGATCCAGATTTATTAAATACGGTTCTGATATATTAGTTTGCTATACGTATCATACACAATGTACATATATACACCTTATATATAATTAATTAAGGACGAAACACTGTGCAATATATTCTTGCGATTGCTCACAGTATTATTTTGCATCCTCGATTTATTATGACATCAACATCATAATAATTATGCAACATGATCAGCATACACATGTATTATCGAGGTACTATTTTAAGATAAAGAATTTAAGTTTAAGATAACAATTTACAAAGTCTGTGTTAATATCAACGAAATCATTCCGCTCTCATAGCAAGTTTTCCTTATCTAATTAACTCTTTCCAAGTACGTACATATACAAGAAAATTATTAAGAAAAACCATATTTAATTCCGATGAAGATATTCAATTTTACGCTACGAGGATGACATACGTATTCATTAAATGTATCGTCCAAACTGGCCACTTGTTCTCTCTTTCGCGTAAAATCTATTGCGAGAAAAGAAAATGTCGTACCAGATAATCGAGAAATATAGAACCACGCGTAGCTACATATATATATCTTGCGAATGTGAAATTCTTTGAAAACCTATTAAACACACCATATATCGTGAATCTTTCAAGAACACGAGAAAAATACGTGCAGAATTATATATTAGCTATGAATTAATCAATTGGACTAACTTACTCATCTGATTTCGAAATTGTAGTTTTATCTATTTTATATTTTTAAGAAAGATTGTATTTCTGAACATTGTCTTGATTTGTCTTAATTGGAAATTATGACTATTTAAAATTTTTTGCACATAATTTTTAAATTTCGAAATTTAGTATTTCTGGACATCGCTCTATCTTTCCAATTTCAAGATTATGACTTTTTGGAACTCTGCATGCTACTTCTTATACACACACATATACATACATACACAATTGAATCACGAATTCGACTTTAATTCATTGGCAGTAATTCATTCTCCTGTGATATATTATCGAAAAGTTCGAAAAAAGACGTTAAATGTGCACGAATTTAATTATGTGGTAGTTAGACGACATTGTGCACTTCAGGATTAAATCGAAATTCTTTGCATTTACGATATTCTTTTCTACAACACACGTTCTAAGGACTAAATTTGAACTCTACGTAAGTCATCGGGATATTGTGTAGGTAACAAGTTTGTACAAATACCTTATCTCGTAAGAACGTGACATCGATATCGTTTAATGAGAAACTCTTTTCTACACGTTTTTTATATCTATAATTAATTTACTTATTCACGTCAAGCTTTAGTTCATACGCGAAATTAGCTCGTACGCGAAATCGATCTTTGGTTTTCGACGGTATTCGCACTGTCTTTAATTTTTTTTTATGAATATCAACACTAGCCGCAGGAACTTTCAATTGCAGCACACTGGATTTCAGTTTATTTTAATTCAAGAAACTGAAGAATTGCGAGCGAGGGGCTCGCAGTTTTTTAATTATCTAGATTTTCGTTAAACTACTTTACATTTTCATTATTAATCTTCCACATTTACTTGCATTTTGAACATTCAGGTTTTATCATTCCTCGAATTGTCGATATCGACATTTTGTTTTTTAGATAAATATTCATTTATACGCAATAATGTGTTCTACGTAAGTAATTTTATAAAGTATTATATCGTGATATTTGCTTGTCTTCTGAAATATTAAAGTTCGATTGCGATATATCTTATGAATATTTGTCCCACATTATTAATAAATTTATCTTCTTGCTATGTTTTATGGATACATTCTGTCGTCTATATTTTTGAATGTTTTTTTTAATTTTCGTCTCATTTGCTAAAGTTTCTGTGGACATTTTTCATCGCACGCGGCAAAATATATGCCGACTTAAATGAATATTTATTGCTGTCGTAAAACAGCAATTTTCCGCATCAAGTTTCGACAATAATCTTCCTTTTAAAAAGGTATCGATTGTTTTAAATATTTTCATTTTCCTAACAAGTCAGTATCATTGAACACTGTGTATTTTATGAAATGTTAGAAAACGTCGTGCTTTATTCGAAGTGTTGTACTTTTTCAAGTTCGATAGTCTCGAAATACACACGATAGTTAAATTTATTCAGTTGTCATCTGGTCACGCTTTTTGTAATTTGTAAGTGGACTTAGTTTTTTATTTCGTCATTGCTATGTGTCTCTTTAATTTCGTCGCACATTTGAATTGCATCAGGAGAGTCCGAGTAGATATGCATCAATTATTCACTAGAAATCGAGAAACATATATAGAGTTGAAAGAACCGATGTATTAACATTTTTCTTTCATCAATTTTCTTTCATCCTCTTTTCAGTTGATTGAGATATTTATTTTCAATTATATTATAAATTTTCATGTTTGTTGATTCAACTCTTTGTCTTTCCGAATGTATTTTCGACGATGTCCAGTTAATTTATAAATATTAACACATAATCATCGTACACACTATATCGTGTATCATCATGAATTTTCGTGCTCTCTTCGCGCTCAACATTGCTAGAAATTTTTCCATTTCGAGTTTCTCACATCCGTCTGTCAATTATATTTCACATCTTCTTATCACAGCAGCGTCTTTATCGCCGATGATTCGCGCAATGATCATTCACCGCGCGAACCGTTTCTCTCTTCTTCAACCCCCCAGCCCGATCTTTTCTACCACCAATATTTCTGTATGTACGGCGTCATGGGGACCTGGCCGCTTCCGGGATAAGTCGCGGGCTCCATCAGCTTGGATTGACAGGGCTTACCGTCTCTCACCAGCACTGGTACGGCGACCCGCCTGGGCGAGCATCCGCTGCCGCTGGCCTCGACGCGCTCGCTCGCCGCTCTCTTCGTCTTGTATCTGTGATTCTGGAACCAGATCTTCACCTGGGTGGGCGTTAGACGAATGATGGAGGCCAAATGCTCGCGCTCGGGCGCGCTCAGGTAACGCTGCTGACGGAAACGTCGCTCCAGCTCGTAGGTCTGCGCCTTGGAGAACAGGACGCGTCGCTTCCGCTTCTTGTGCTCGGTCTCGTGGGGCTGGGCCGTCTCGTTGCCGACCTGCTGTTCGTCCTCGAAGTCCTGCGACTCTTCGTCCTTGGACGACTCGTGACTGTTCTCCTGCTGCGACGGGAACGACATGTCCGAGATCGCCGGGCTCGTCGAGTCCGGTTGTTGGAGAACTGAACACAAGAAATATTATCGCGATATTAATTTTTATTTCGAAAGAGGAATATTATTCTGTAGAAGAATTCTGACGTAGCGTAGGCATCTTTCGATTAGATTGTTCGTACTTTTATTAAGTACTAATTTTATCGAATCGAATTTTTGTTATACATAACTTGCGTGCGACTCTGGTTTGTTAGTGTAGTTATACACTATCGTAAAAATAAGTATGTTAAATGACGTGATGGAAGTAGTGTTTAGTAAATGACCGACTCTCTATCTCAATTACTTAATTGATGATAACCAACTGCAGCTGCATTTCGACTCAGCCGGCGCCGTCGATTGCTTTTAGCGTTGATTACCAGCAGATGCACGCCTGCATTGATTTTTTAATAGTTCTTCTAATCAGTACTGATGAATTATATCGTTAAATCTCGTGATATATCATATGCAGTAATTAAACTGTCGCTTCTATAAATATACATACAAACTTCTAACTCTCTCGCGATATTCCAAGATCTCTGAACTCTTTTTTTCATAATATTAAAATATGAGAATTTTTTAAATCGATTATGAAAATAAAAACGTGAATACCGTTGTTATAATTTGTAAATTAATCGCTTGCAATATCTAATTAGAGATTTTAAAACAATGGCGGGAATGAAACAATAATAAAATAAATTTAATTTTGCTGACGCAGTAATTATACTACAAGTAATAACTTGATTTATCCGATAGCAAAGTGGTAAATGTCACGATCTGGTCCGGGATATCGGCTAATTTAATGTACAACGTCGGGATACTGGCTTTCGCCGTGGTACAATATGCTTTTGTGAGCGACCCCCGGGGACCCGCTCAAGGAGGGTGTGAACCAATATAAAGCCTATTTGATACCCCTGCTCCGGACCCCATGGGATCAACCATATCATTTTCATGGGAGATTAGGCCATACTCGCAGTTGCACTGTGATTTCAATTAGACACTCGCCGCTAACTAATGTCTCCGAAGGAAGCTATGCCATAGCTGTGAGATTATCTCGCGTTCTTTCAACATGAATTGCGAGTCATTTCTTGAACCAGATTTCGCATAAATCCAAACTGTATATATATTATTATAATTATTTTAATTTAAAGTCATTTATTTAAAGAAACAAAGGGCAATTTAATTTTTTTTTTAAATTTATTTTTAAATATGAAAATAAAATTAAAATAGATATTGCGATAACAAATCTTTATATTTTGTTTGATATTCTAATGTTTTATCTTTTATCATATGTATTTAGTAATGTCTTTAATTATTATTCTTGTTTCTCCCTATATCACACTTGCATAATTTTCTAAAGTCATTCAAATCATATTTAAATCTGTCCAAAATTTTTAGAAATCTGTTTCACAGAGAGTTATACGTAATACACTATCCAATGAACAATATAAACGTCCGATGTAAAAGAGATCCACTCAATCGTGCGTCGCAATCATCCCCTTCTTTATCTGCTACAGGACGACCGCGATTATTCGCAGGCAACGCGTTTCTCATGTCGGTTCGACACGTCGCTCGGATTTTTCGCTCGTGCGAACCGTGACCGAACGCGAGAGGAAGATAAAAAGAAGCGGGATAGGTCGCCGACGAATTTTTTGGGCGTGACGATCCTGATTTAACGAGGGCCGGGGCCCGGGGGGCCCCCGCCGCTCGCGCATCTGTCCCCGGGTACGACATCTGTCCTCATTCGCGGACCAATCGCTGTGCGGTACCCACGAGAACCTTTTACAGGACTATTAGATCCTGCTTAACCCTCGCGGACCAATTGTAGGGTGTTAAATAAATAAGGGTTTCCATCTTGCGCCCTTCCGCCCGCAAAAGCGTGCGCGCGTGTGTGCGTGTGCGTGCGCCCTTTCTACCAGCGCGAAGAAAGGGGGCGAGAAATCTTGCACCTCGATTGAAAGTGCGGCGACCAAATTCAGCCGAGCATTCTTTAGAATACAAGTGACGTCTTCGACGAAATAAAACTTTGTATATTCACGCTTTTTTAGAAAGTTAATAATCATTTCTCGATATATAATGACAAGTAAATGCGCTTTCTAAATTACACAGCTTGTTAATTTTTATTATCGCGTACCCTGACTACTAGACAATTAAATAAAGGGTAACATGTTCGCGCTCACCATTCACCTCTTCCACCAAGGGTTGAGATAACGCTGTCGGTAGTGCTGGTCCAGCTGGCCAACCTAATAATCCAGGCGGGGGTGGCGGCAACGTACCCCTGTTCAGATTAGCGTGCATAGCCGGTTGCAGCATGGCGGTCGTATGCTCCAAAAATTGTTGGTAAGATAACGGCACGTCGCTTGCCGTTGGCAGAACCGTCGTGGCACCTGGAACACGAAATGTCAGAAAATTTATCAGGATTTTTCTAATAGCTAAACTTTACAGCAAAAGAAAATTTACAGCAAGAGAAACTTTATATTTTCCCCCATTTTTAAGCTTATCGCTTTAATATATCGCCTTTTCTTTTTTTTTTAATTTTGAAATATGTATTAATATCAAATTATAAAATCGGATCAACTCAAATTTTTAAGATAACAATTCTCTATTATTTCATAAATTTGATATTTATCGAATTGTAATAATTGTTAAATTGCTATTTAGTAATTGGAATTAACAAGATATGAAATATTTGTTTCTTAATTATTGTAACTATTTAATATAATAACTTGCCGTACCTTGCACATCTGTTTCCTCTTGCGACGGTTTGGCATCGTTTAATTCCAAAATGTCGCTAATGGCAAAACCGGATGTCCTAGCCGGCATTTTCATACTTTCCAGCAGCCTGCAACAAAAAATTCCTTGGTTATTATAATTCTAATTTAAAAAAAATACTAGAGACAATATCAACAAAAAGTATTATAACATTACAATAAAATATACAGAATGATTTTTAATTGTGTGTGTATGTCAATAATTATGGGGCGAATCTAGGGCCTAAAACAAGAATTAAATGCTATATGAAGATAAATTGTTTGGTTATTTTATTAGGTATTAATCTGCATTGATGCATGCTATGAAACAATCAATTTGCTATTTGTTATTGTTGAATCGATTTTCTGTTGAAACAATCTATTCGCATATCAGAATGGAAATAAACCTATATAAATATAGACAATGTATAGTAAAAGTATATAGATAAAAAATGATAGAAAAAATTTTAAAAATCGAACATTCTTACGCTAATACGCTTCCGGTATTAGAAACTTGCGGTTAATTGATATCGCGTATAATTTTTCATCTAATAAAACGAACATGTGTATACAGTCGTAGGATTTTGGATAAACATAACTATATCCGCGGGCGGATTTTGCGAGTCGGAAAGTCGGGCACAAAGGTGTTTTACGGCGGTAAAATCCAATTTTGAAGGAGCGTTCCTGACCCTGGAAGCCGCGTGACTGTCAAGAAGCCATCGGCTCTTTTAGAACCCGATCAGAGAGACGTCTTCGAGGGTATATAATACCTGCCTATACCCGCGTTTATTCGTAAGCAACCTGTCCGTGGACCTGCGTGTAGGAACGAATTTTTCGGTCCGCTCATATTAAGCTGTGCCAGCTATTATTGCGGCACGTTCGGCCACGTTTTTTAAATGTTTCCGACACGAAGCGCGGGTGTTTCTGAATAAGCATTCTTCTTAACTATTTACAGACTGCCGTCTGAGAAAACTTGTGCGAGAAGTTTGCGACGAGATAAGACGACAGTTTTTAGTTATAGACGTGAAAAAGTTTCGGCGAACATCTAGCATTAACAGAGGATTACTATAATTTTATATCTTACAGATGCATGATTATATGCTCTCCTTCATATTCACAGATACACATGTACGCATATTTATACGAGGAAAAGTCATTAAGTATGTGACAAATGGTTATTGATTGTTGGATTGTGTCAACAACTATACACTGCCACAATCAGAAACTAATTTATTCCATTTATAGCTATTCCACATTCATTTTTGACTTAATTAATGACTTTCTCTTGTATTAAATCTAATTTTTTTTTTTATCGGATTTGCGTGTAATCTTGACTTGATCATGAAAATCAGATTAAAATACTAGAACAAAATCGTCTCCTCGCGAGAAGTTGATAATTATTTGGAAGTACCAGCATTGAAATCGCTCGCGATTTCAACCTCTTGTAATTACGACGCTTTTTTCATCTCAATTGATGTAAGAAAGTCATAGAGATAGCACAAGCGTAGCTTTCGTCACTTTTTATTGTTGACATAATTAATTTTGAACTTTTTTTATGCTATTTAAGTATATGTATTGCAACACAATTTATATAATATTGAATAATTATGCAAACGATTTTAAGTAATTATGTAAACACAGTTTAATGATGATTTCTCGATATCGCATGCAAAGTTTAATCGATAAGCAATTCGTGTTCCAATGGGTCATCAGTTGATATACGATATTACGTGATATATCGTAATAAAACCACGTGTAAGAATTCGATAATCATCAAAATCCCCGATTAATCAAAGTAAAAATTATCGATTAGCGCGATCATTTTTCAATTTGTTTGTCGAACTCACTTACGACTATTATACCATCTTTAATTTAATATTTGTAATGTGTGTTTTCTCTCTTTTCTCTCTTTCTCTCTTTTACATTATTCCTACTCTCAATTATATGTGTGTACATATAAAAAAAATTAAAAATATTTAATAATTATAATTTGATATATGTATTATGGTATATATAATATGTAATTCTTATTTTTCTAAAGGAAATTACAAGAAAAAGTAAGAAAAATTAAGATTGTTTTGTAGTTCTCCAAAAAGAACTAAACATACTAAATTTTCATTAATATTATTTACCTAGTATTCAATGCGAGCTGGCTGTACCAAACGTGATTTAAAAGACTGGCCGGATACGGTAGCAGCGGCCAGGTCAAAATCTTATTTTTGTCCACCATTTTGAAAAAAGGTTTCGAAACGGTTGTTAGTACACGCGTGTGTCAGTACATGTTACATGTTTCACCGACGGCACATTTCCTGATGTTTAAAAGTCTCTTTGAATCGTAGACCTGATCCCCATTTATAATTCTTATTCTCTTCTCTCTTTTCTTTGATTTTCCAATAATATTTCAAATTGAAATTAGTTTCCAATCTTAATTTAAAAGACTTCTTTTTTTTCTTAATTTTATTTTTTAAAATTCTTCTTTACTTTGTACAATACGTACAACAGTTAGTGAGATTTTTGTCTCTTTTGTTTAGAAAGGAGATAAAAATTTATTTATTTTTATTCTCTTAGAGGAAAATTTCCTTTTAGAGAAAAATGAATATTAAATTTATTTATTTATATATAATATGTTTCTTTATTTTTCTTTGCATCTTATTGAAATAATTTTCTTAGAAACTTTTTTTATCTTTTTGATCTTTTTGTAATTGCAACTACCCATATCTTCGGTTTTCCATTTTCATAATCACTCTTTTTCTTTCATATGACACTATTATAGTTTTAGCATCACCAACTGTTACTTTTCACGACAAGAGTTCACAATCTCGTAGCAAAAGTCTTTATGCCAGCACAAACATGATAATAACTAGTCCAACAGGTAATCCAATGTCCATTCACTGATTTTTGTATCGCACTCGCGACTGTCAGTCATTACTGATTCCGTCCGAAGAACCCGTAAAGCAGGCCATAATTCCTTTTTGGAACTACTAAAGGACACTTCTTGTAATTTTTAAGTGTCCTCCACGAGCACTTGACGACTAGTGTTCGTTCGTAGGTCGCCCGTCAAGCACCCTCGAAGCGTAGGGCGGATTCTACATTGGGGCGGGATTTCACGTTCATCCCCTCCCGTTTGGTAGCTCTTCGTATCCCACCCTGCTACCCGGCGGTAACTTACGGAAAGTTTCCGGCGGGAGAAGCTTAGGATAGAAGAACCGTCGCTGTTTCGTTTCTCGTTTAATTTATCATCTCTTCAAAAGCTCCGTCTGTTCAAAAAATAAATGCAATGCTGATGATAATGTAATATTCTGACGAAAGTTCAGTGGTTTTATCTTATTCGAGCCGCAAGTAGTTTATTTATAATTGGTTGAATTGATAACTTGTTAAATTTATCGATACACGAGCTATCTTTCTTTTATGCACGTGCTGTAAAAATACTTACAGTATAATAATTAAAGAATATTTGTAGAGAGAGTATTTGTCTCGCTTTGGTCTTGCACGTAGGGGGTTGATCTCCGTAATAGAGAGCTAGTTTTGATCTTTATCTTTCAGCCTAAAGTAGGCAACTAACTGACTTTAGTTGGATCAGTATATTTAAAAAAATACTTAGTTTTTTTAGGTCAATATTACCGATACATTCTGTCAAATATATTGCAATCAAGTGTTTTATCCTAAGAAAAATTCAAAATATTTCTTACTTTTTATAATCATCAAAAATAAATTGTTTTACGAATTTAACAATTAAAGTAAAATGCAAATATAAAGTAATTTTTTATTTGTTTTTCTAGAATAAATTAAATTAATAATGATAGGAAATAATACGAATGATTTAATATCGAAGTATAATTCAAATTTTAGCAAATAATTCGCTAATTAATATAGTTTCGCAAGATATTTATGGTTATATTTTTATTAACAGTTATTATTTAACTAAACACTTGGTTTAAATCAGCTTTTATGTATATATAAAAATAAGAATTATATGTAAAAACAAGTCTTTTTGTTTTCTTCGTCGCATTAAATCTGATAAAATTCCTTGCCACTCCGAGCGATTCTGGTAATATTACGGGGGTAAGTTACCGAGGGGTGTTACCACCAGCCAGCCAATGGGATGGTCGCGTGTCGGGGAACCGTCGCCCAGCGGCCCGGGGGTTGATTTCAATCCAGCCCGACGAGCGAGCCAATCGGCGAGCTTCATCGATCAGGGGTCTTTTTACACCGAGAGCATACTTTACGTCGAGTGTTAATGTGAAAGAGCATTAGTGGTGCTTTTACTGTGTCATTTCGATTTTTCACTCGTTTCCCTTACCTCTCTCCCCTAGCCACTTTCTCTGCTACCGTCCTGTTTTCTTTCTTTCCCTCTCTGTCTTTCTCCCCCTGTGGCACTCAGATCGTTGCCTATTGATACGCAAAACTGGGTTAGAAGCGTGGTCGCGACTTACGGCCGAGTGTTACACAAACGCAAACGAGATACGTATGATCGACCAGCTTGACTGTCCTCTTTTAGGAACTTGTTTGTTCGATCGAAAAATCGAAGGGTGCGAAATGGAGTTTAATTGAAGGGAGGCATATATGTTTAATTTTACGAAAACCGAGATATTTTAATAAAGTAAATTATGATTTGTACCTTTGTATTGTATACATCGTTTATTTATTAATTTAACAGTGTGATGATATTAAATGAAGTCTTTCATGAATCTTCTTTTAGAGATAGATTACTCAGACAAACACCAGAGAGAGAAGTTTTAGATACTCACGAAACTGATCAAATGTTTTAGAAACTTTATAAAAGTTTCTGATATCATGAGAAGGAAGAAAAAGAAGAGAAAAAGAAACAGGAAAAGAGAGAAAGAGTAACATATAAAAAAAATTTTTATAACATATATATTGTATAAGAGAATACAAATTATATAAAATAATACGATTTTCTGCATAATTTTAAAAAGTGTTTTCAAAATACTTGATTTTAATTTCACAAGTCACTGTATATATTAAAATATAATTGTAAAGGGCAAAAATAAGGGAAATTATCATTATTTTGATTAAAAAGAAAATTCTTATAAATAAATTATCATCTTTCTTTGTGTCTTGTAGATCAAGT